GACAAGTAGTGATTCTACAGCATCTTACTATGCTGATGGGCAGTGACTGCAATGGGGTTTGTGGGGTGGGACTTGGTAAAGGGGGGAGTCTAGTAACCATAATGTTCTTCATGTAATTGTAGATTAATGATAATAAAATGAATTAAAAAAAAAAACAAGAAACACAAGTCACACAGGAATTTCATCAATTTCATCAAATAAGAACAGTAGAAGCAGTCACCTTTAATTAAAGCCATGTACATACAGGGAAACTCTGAAGTCTAATGGGAGAAAAAAAACTTAACAATACTATTTTTTCCCTGTATAAATAATAAAATATGGGTGATTGATAATGTTCAGGATAAATTTTCAACAGGGTGGTATGCAGATGAGCAGAGTGACAAGGATGCAAAGTTAGGAAGGCAGAGCACAAGGTCCTTATATTCCTTCGCTAACTGTCAACAAAAGCTGAAGGTTGAATTTAAACTGCAGGAATGACAACCCAATTTTATGGCATTAGGAAGCCAAAATAATAAACCTTTTTACAAAGCACAGGGTCATAGTATGGAGCCAACAAATGCGTTTGGGCCCCTTTATGAGCTACTATCCCTTCAAGGGAAGACTCCTAAAGGGAGCAGCAGAGCTTCCACATGGGTTCCACACTCTTAGGGTTCTTTTTAGGTACATGGAGGGGGTGTTATTGTTAAACTTTGTAGGGAAAAATGTGTTAACAGAAAATCCTCGAAATTGTACATTCCCTGAAAATTCTAAAATTACTTTAGGAGTGCTAAGAATAATTACTAAGGTCAGATTTAACAATTTCAATTCATAGGAAAGTTTCTGAAAGTGAACAGATTCAATTTAATTTAACAAATACTACCTACTTAGGGGGGATTTTGTTAAGGGTACACATTAAGAGATGGATTCAGGTCAGCAGTGTAATCTTAGGGAATTACTTGATTTCATTTTCTTCACCTTACAATTTAGCTAATACATGGAAAAGCATGTGGCAGGATCCCTGGCATACACATGGTAAGGACTTAGTCATTGCGCTTCATAGCTAGTGCCCTTTGAAGATGCAGCTCAAGTGCCACACACCTGGCCCCTGGCAGCATCAGACATCCCAGTGCCCTGTACAGACTCAGGTACACTTTTGTCTGTACCTGTCATTATTTGAATTTATTTATTTCCTGAGGACTATGAGGTCTTTCTATTAGCATCTGACACAACAATGTCTCAGCAAATGTTTGTGGAGTAACTAGAAATAGCCCTTGACATAAAGGATCTCATCACTTATCTAGTGGGATGGTGCACAGCAAAAAATACCTTCAGTGCAGCAGGTTATCTCTACAAGTTTAGACTAGGCATGGTAGCCTAGGGAGGAGGGCGTTCCAGGCAGACAAGATCACAGGAGCAAAATGTCTGAATCATTTCAATCCTACTATCGTAGGAATGCTCTCGAGTTCAATAATACTTACACTCGGGACAGTGGAGCTTTTCTTGCGCTCAGGAATATCCGCCTTATTGGGATTGCTTGCATTCCCAAGCATGGGACTGGCTGGAGCAATTCCCTTTCCTCCACCAGCAGTGCCACCTGGTTTTCGGGAGGGAATTCCATCTTCTTTAAGGTCACTATCTGTAGTGCTGGTCTGACTCCTTTTTGGATACGCCACAACTGAAGGAATAGCTGGTCCAGCTAAAACAGAGTTCACTTTTTAAGTCAAAATAGTTTATTTTATTCCATGAAAGTAAACATATTTTATAAGATGACCTAAGATTGCTATATATCTAAGAAAATACAAGACAGTCAAGTCCTGTTTCCCATTCATGTTTTCTTGATGCCATAAATTTTACTTTGAAATTCTACTTATTAGTCCCCAACTTTCTACTTTTCTTAACAATTCTTTAAAAAATGTAAGTCTGTACAGTCTTCCTTCAGAAACACCTTCAGAGAGCATTGGCTAATGGAAACATCTTTGTGGGTGTTAATGTACAGGTAATTAATCAAACTAAGTCGATACACACACATCATGCAGATGAACTGTTTCAAATGGTACATGTGAGTGAATCTCATCCTTTTTTGTACAAGAGATACCTTCATCTTCTACAACAGAAAAGTAGAGATTTAAGGGCTGTTTCTTTTTAAGTTTTATCTTGGATCTTTTTTAAAGCACTTATCTCTTAGATAAATAGTAATTTGAGTAGATAGGGAAAGGTGGGATAAGCAGAGGAAAGCATTTTTTCATGCAAATGACACAAAGCAAGTGAATAGAGGTTCTGGTCATACTCAACGCCCCACCCGCACCCCCCCATCCCCTCGAATGTTCCTAGGGACATCTAGGGTGGACAACTGACTAATGTTCTGCAATAAACCATCTGGAGGCTATGCTGGTAGCACAGGAGATTCAGAGTTCAAAGACTTTTGGAAATGGACAAGGTAACGAGTATATTCTTTATATAATATCATGTCTAGTGGTAACCTTAAGAAATGGTACCAAATGCTCATTATTTATTCTGTGGTAGAAGAGATTTTATATTTTAGGGTCTATTAAAAAGGGGGAGGGAGAGGGTTGGCTCAGTGCAGAAAAGCTGCTTCTTGGTCAAAAATCCAAATTGTAAATCTATTAGGAACTGAATTAAAAGTAAAGAAGGGGTTGGTTTTATTTATGGGAGGACAATTAAGCTCTCAGTTTGGTAACCTCAACATATAAAACTAAGAACTAAGCAAGTATAGGGTGATATTACTCTTAATGCTATCTTTCTACTCAATATCATGTTCTGAACTTTAGGGTCACTACTGATTTGCTTTGAAATTTCTATGACTTCTATTTTGAAAATACAAAATCATTTCATTTTAAGATTTGAGCTTCTGGATAGAAACAGATATTGATATAATCCACAGACCTCATTAGTTCGGGCTGCCCTGGTTTTACTTGCACCACTTCTGACTGTGTATTAGTTCTACACACTTTAACCATGTGTGCCGATTCATGTGACCACTAGGTGTCAAGATACAGAGCAATTCCATCTCAAGGACCCTGTGGACTACCCTTTCATAGCCACTGCTACCTCTCTTCTACCCCAAACTCCTTCCTTAAATCTTGGCAACCATGAATCTGTTCTTCATTTCTGTAATTCTGTCATTTTAAGGATGTTACATGAATGGAATCAACTTTATGTAATCTGAGATTCTTTTTCCACTCATCATTATTCCCTTGAGACCCATCCAAGTTGTATGTGTCAACAGTCCCTTCCTTTTTATTGCTGTGTACGTTGTGGATGTTATCACACAGAAAATGTGATTATTATGCCATCAAATTTGTTAAGTAGTTTCTTGCATGGCTTTTAGTGTTTGGGACCAGTTAGAAAGACCTTCACTAGTCCAAGTTATAAGGCAAATCATCTCATGTTTCCTTTTAATATTTCTGTGTTTTTATTTTTTATATCTTCATTCCAATTGGAATCCACCTTTTATAAGATATGAGAAATGGATGTAATTTTTTTTTCTGATAGCTACCAAGCTTTCCCAATGCCATTTATTAATAAACCAGTGAGCATTCACCTTTTTTTTTTTTAAGACAAAGAATCCTTGAAAATCTGATGAAGATCGCCCTTCCTAGAAAACTCTGTACACACACACGGGGGTTCACACACGGGACCCAAAGTAAGAACCACAGATAAGAACTAAGTGTGATTTTGCAAAAGCAGGTGTATCGAAATCATTGGCGTCTAGAGGCGCGGAACAAGGGGAGAGGCGAGAAGAGGTGGGAGGACAGGTTAAAAGCTAGTTTGCCTCCAGGCTCGTCTGCCTTCACTCCGTATCAAGCAGATGTGCTTTACCAGACACTGTATTTGGAACCTACCCTAATTTTAGCATTTAAAAGAACTGAGCCAGAGGCAAAATCAAATCTTTCCTTTGCTGACCACTATCTTCATCCCCATAAAGAATGAAAAAGAACATGGAATTGGGTAATTTTCTACATATGTGGATTTCTTCCTCCACCAGCAGTGCCACCTGGTTTTCGGGAGGGAATTCCATCTTCTTTAAGGTCACTATCTGTAGTGCTGGTCTGACTCCTTTTTGGATACGCCACAACTGAAGGAATAGCTGGTCCAGCTAAAACAGAGTTCACTTTTTAAGTCAAAATAGTTTCCCATTTTATTCCATGAAAGTAAACATATTTTATAAGATGACCTAAGATTGCTATATATCTAAGAAAATACAAGACAGTCAAGTCCTGTTTCCCATTCATGTTTTCTTGATGCCATAAATTTTACTTTGAAATTCTACTTATTAGTCCCCAACTTTCTACTTTTCTTAACAATTCTTTAAAAAATGTAAGTCTGTACAGTCTTCCTTCAGAAACACCTTCAGAGAGCATTGGCTAATGGAAACATCTTTGTGGGTGTTAATGTACAGGTAATTAATCAAACTAAGTCGATACACACACATCATGCAGATGAACTGTTTCAAATGGTACATGTGAGTGAATCTCATCCTTTTTTGTACAAGAGATACCTTCATCTTCTACAACAGAAAAGTAGAGATTTAAGGGCTGTTTCTTTTTAAGTTTTATCTTGGATCTTTTTTAAAGCACTTATCTCTTAGATAAATAGTAATTTGAGTAGATAGGGAAAGGTGGGATAAGCAGAGGAAAGCATTTTTTCATGCAAATGACACAAAGCAAGTGAATAGAGGTTCTGGTCATACTCAACGCCCCACCCGCACCCCCCCATCCCCTCGAATGTTCCTAGGGACATCTAGGGTGGACAACTGACTAATGTTCTGCAATAAACCATCTGGAGGCTATGCTGGTAGCACAGGAGATTCAGAGTTCAAAGACTTTTGGAAATGGACAAGGTAACGAGTATATTCTTTATATAATATCATGTCTAGTGGTAACCTTAAGAAATGGTACCAAATGCTCATTATTTATTCTGTGGTAGAAGAGATTTTATATTTTAGGGTCTATTAAAAAGGGGGAGGGAGAGGGTTGGCTCAGTGCAGAAAAGCTGCTTCTTGGTCAAAAATCCAAATTGTAAATCTATTAGGAACTGAATTAAAAGTAAAGAAGGGGTTGGTTTTATTTATGGGAGGACAATTAAGCTCTCAGTTTGGTAACCTCAACATATAAAACTAAGAACTAAGCAAGTATAGGGTGATATTACTCTTAATGCTATCTTTCTACTCAATATCATGTTCTGAACTTTAGGGTCACTACTGATTTGCTTTGAAATTTCTATGACTTCTATTTTGAAAATACAAAATCATTTCATTTTAAGATTTGAGCTTCTGGATAGAAACAGATATTGATATAATCCACAGACCTCATTAGTTCGGGCTGCCCTGGTTTTACTTGCACCACTTCTGACTGTGTATTAGTTCTACACACTTTAACCATGTGTGCCGATTCATGTGACCACTAGGTGTCAAGATACAGAGCAATTCCATCTCAAGGACCCTGTGGACTACCCTTTCATAGCCACTGCTACCTCTCTTCTACCCCAAACTCCTTCCTTAAATCTTGGCAACCATGAATCTGTTCTTCATTTCTGTAATTCTGTCATTTTAAGGATGTTACATGAATGGAATCAACTTTATGTAATCTGAGATTCTTTTTCCACTCATCATTATTCCCTTGAGACCCATCCAAGTTGTATGTGTCAACAGTCCCTTCCTTTTTATTGCTGTGTACGTTGTGGATGTTATCACACAGAAAATGTGATTATTATGCCATCAAATTTGTTAAGTAGTTTCTTGCATGGCTTTTAGTGTTTGGGACCAGTTAGAAAGACCTTCACTAGTCCAAGTTATAAGGCAAATCATCTCATGTTTCCTTTTAATATTTCTGTGTTTTTATTTTTTATATCTTCATTCCAATTGGAATCCACCTTTTATAAGATATGAGAAATGGATGTAATTTTTTTTTCTGATAGCTACCAAGCTTTCCCAATGCCATTTATTAATAAACCAGTGAGCATTCACCTTTTTTTTTTTTAAGACAAAGAATCCTTGAAAATCTGATGAAGATCGCCCTTCCTAGAAAACTCTGTACACACACACGGGGGTTCACACACGGGACCCAAAGTAAGAACCACAGATAAGAACTAAGTGTGATTTTGCAAAAGCAGGTGTATCGAAATCATTGGCGTCTAGAGGCGCGGAACAAGGGGAGAGGCGAGAAGAGGTGGGAGGACAGGTTAAAAGCTAGTTTGCCTCCAGGCTCGTCTGCCTTCACTCCGTATCAAGCAGATGTGCTTTACCAGACACTGTATTTGGAACCTACCCTAATTTTAGCATTTAAAAGAACTGAGCCAGAGGCAAAATCAAATCTTTCCTTTGCTGACCACTATCTTCATCCCCATAAAGAATGAAAAAGAACATGGAATTGGGTAATTTTCTACATATGTGGATTTCTGGAAATACTTTCATGAACTTCCTTTAACTCTATAAGAAGAGGTAATTGGTGGGTTAGTGGACAGAGCCAGAAGATCAGGGCCCAGGAGTCCTGGGGTCTGTCCCATGTGTTCCCACTTCTATGTAACTTTGGAAGACTTGATGAGTCCTCTTGCCCTATTTCCTTATTGATAAAATGTGGGTTTGGTGAATGTAGATACCATGTCTGAAGTTCTTTATAGCTCAAAAATTTTCTGAGCTGGGGGAAAAAAGGCATTACCAATCCAGATGTAATCTATGTGCTTAAGAAAGAATGAATTTATTAAGATAGCCACTAGAGATATGAGAAAACTCCATTACCAGGTTTCTTCCAGGATTTAGGAATAATTCCCTTTAAACTGGATGGTTTAGAGCAAGCAATATGTAGGCTTTGCTAACTGTTTTTGCAGTCCATGGTATTGAGAACCCCTCCTTGTTTGCATCTAACATGAACACAAAAAAGAGACAGAGACCCAGATCAACATTTGGTTTACAGATGCCATGTGCACAAATCCTAGTGCCAGACGGGTTCTGAGCCCTCAGTCACGCGCTGGGAGAGCAGACATGTAGACGGGGTGCTGATGGTGTCAGTGCAGTGTGCTGCTGCAGCCCGCACCACTGAGAGAGGTGGCATCAGAAGGAAGAGAAACGGAAACTAAGCAAAGTGTCATCACTTCGGGTACAAAACCGAAGCTGCCGCACATGGAATGCTCTGTGCAGTTACTTCTAAGTGCCAAATTTTAAGGTGAAAGAATGGAGGTGGACAACATTCAGAGAAGGGAAATGAACTCAACAGAGATAAGTGGATACTGCAGGTGAGGGCTTGTTTTTAATATTAGGACCAGAACAACATAGATTTGGTTCTGGGTCCTAGAATACTGGAATTAAAATGCCTACAACATTAATAGTCACAGTTAACAGTTGAGTAAATATACATGTGCTACAGTCTGGGTTCTAACACCTAGGGTTACCTGGAAGGTAAAACAACTGTCAAGCTTGGTAACATACCCTTTAGGGTCCTAATCTCATAAAAGATTCACTTTCTACAGTGAAAATTTTAAGAGTGAGGGTGTTTAGACACACCGACAACTACAGTGTGGCTAGAATGACATAGGTAAAAAATTCAAACCAATTAAGATAAAACTGGGGTACTATACATTCTCCAGGGCTACGCTATCCAGTGTGGTAGCCACTGGCCACATGTGGCTATACGAATTTAATTGAAAATTGAAAATCATTTCCTTGGTTCCAGTGCTCAATAGCCACCACATGGCTAGAGACTACTTGATTGGACATCACAGATATAGAACATTTTCATGACTACAGGAAGTTCTGTTAGTGCTGTGCTGGAAAGAATCTGATGCAGAGATGGGCAAGGGAGTGAACAGAGAACTAGAGACTGGTGCAGGGGTCCCAGAGGGTCGAATGGGAAGATTTCCAACCAGCTAGGCCTTACCGACAAAAGCACATCCAGAAAGCAGCAAGGAGAACAGAGCTTTAAGACAGTCATGCCAGCACCTGTAGAACTGCTATGGAGGAAACATGGGGAAGAGAAAGCAAGCCAATCTCCCACCCCAGTGGGCTCAAAGCAAAAGGATGTTTCTCGGTGTTAGGGGCGACACTCTGAGAGAACACGCTGGAACGGTCCCAGACTCACCATGGTCACTGTACCGCCTCTGCTTCTGGCTTGAAGAAATACTCCTTTGCACTTTGTGGTGAGGAGACTGGCCAGTACTGTTGTTGAGATCACTGCTTGGCCTCACCTTAGCGAGTGAAAGATTGCTGCTAGAGCTGGAGTCACTAGCATCCAGCTAAGAAGAAATGAGAAAAACAGAGCAAACCACAACACGAACCCAAATGATTTATCAGGAAACTAAAGTTCTGGCACACAAAATGCTCATGAGCAGCTCATTCAGAGAGAAGAACCACAATGTACAAAAACGACAACCCTCAACTCAGGCAAAAGTACTTTTCTGATGGCTGGAAAACCTCACAAAAGGATTGGTACTTATGATCATCTTTCAAGGCTTGCTTTTCCAAATCACTTTAAAGACTTCATTTTCTTCAATACTTAACATCACTTCTAAACTATCATGACCTATAGGTTAGCTTACAAAGCCAGGTTTTTGACAGTATATTCCACAAAGATTACTATCTTAAACTAGCAGCTCATAATGATCATAGGAATTATATTTGTTACTTGCAGGTAAATTAAAAAATGATATACCAAATGTTACACATACTAAAAAAATAAAAACCAAGAAGGGTTTATATACACTGCTATTTTACAAAAAAGGACATTTTAGCTTTTTCTGATTTACTCTTACCTCTGAAGATTTTCTCCCCAACAACAAATATGTAGCTGTGATTTCATCATATTTCATTTTGCTAAGAGATTCTTGAATTTCTTCTTGTGAGTATCCCATTCCCACCATAATATCTAAAAGAAGGGCATAATATAGCTTACATATTTAGTCTGGGTAAGAAATCACTGTGTTACAGAATAAAATAATTTCCTTTATATGACCCCAAATATCACAGATCTTATAACACAGATGGGCAGTTGGCTTATTTCTGAGTTACTGAGTGCTATTACAGGAATTGAAAGGCAAGTTCCTAAATATGATAAAACAGGTAAGTTGATTCATACAATTTACTTTTTAACTTCCCATCATTCCTATTTTAGGAAGATACATATGAGTCAAAAAGAAATATGCTACTTTACACACATAGCATGCAGGCACAGAATAATTACCTATTCTCTTCTGGTCCGAGATGTCTAGCTCTGGTTCAACGAATGGTTTCAGCTCATCTTCCTCATGCCCTGCGTTGACCCACCTGTCCTTCATGATTTGCTGAAAGATGAACTGTTCATTAGCAGCATGAAATAAAACATTTTGATAACCACAATTTTTAGGAAAATTTCTTTTCAACATTTCATCTATTATAGCTCAAAGGGTAACTTAAAAAAGTTTTAATGTCTCAATTCCTGCTTAAGAAGCCCCAAGATAGTAGTATTCAATATGTCATAAAAATGAAGCAAAGTTCTAAAAATACTTGAAAAACTCTCCGAAGTTATTATCTCCATTTATGTGATTACCTCTAGAGTGCCTCGTTTTATTGGATTTAGCACCAGGAAACGTTTGAGAAGGTTTTCACAGTCTGTGGACATGTAGAAAGGGATTCTGTATTTCCCTCTTAATACTCTCTCTCTCAGTTCCTTTGGGGAGGTAGGAAGGGAAGAAAAAGTCAACTTTTAGGTTAAAAAAGAACCCCAAAAAACCTTGCTGAAACCCTCCATACTGATATCAGATTAAAATATTAATCCTCATCATTCTATAAAATCCTGTTTAGCTTTCTGAGGAATACAGATGCAGCTGCTTTTTGTACCTTTAGGTTCTGCCCATCAAAGGGGAGAGACCCGCTGACCAGGGTGTAAAGAATGACACCGAGGCTCCACACGTCCACCTCTGGCCCGTCGTATTTCTTGCCCTGGAAGAGCTCTGGGGCTGCATATGGAGGACTGCCACAAAACGTATCCAGTTTACTGCCAACAGTAAATTCATTGCTAAAACCAAAGTCAGCTATTTTAATGTTCATATCAGCATCTAACAATAGATTTTCAGCCTAGAGGGAAGACATCAAGACAAAAATGAAATTTAACCAAAGTATAATCAGAACTGTGATAGAATTAAGCATTTCATAAAAACTTTTCATAATGATACAAGATTAATATATATCCTAGTGAATAAAATGAGAAAACATTTCCTAGGGAACAAAATAGGAGATAAATTAGAATTCCTAATTTTTTAACATTAACAAGCAGTAACAGACATGAGGTATAGATTGATTTTAGCACTAATTGTAAACAACAAATACCCACCCTCAAAAGAAAAACCTTTAAATTGCTTCTTCAATTAAGGATAAGGGGCTGTTAAAAAATGGACACTTGTTTTAAGTGGAGAGCCACAGTTTATAAAAACTGCTCAGAAGCTGTATAATGGCTATTATTGAGGAGAGGAGACTCCTAAACCTCATTCGAGATACAGGTCATAGCTCATTTTTTCAACAAACATTTAACATGTGGCAATCGTACAACTGGCATTATACTAGTATTTACAAGACAGACAGACTAGTGTCTACAAGGGTCCTGCCCTTGAGGAGCTCACAGTTTAGAAGTGGAGAGGCAGAAAAATAAGCAACTATACTCTCTTAAGTGCTGGGTCAGAGGAGGTGTGTGGAGTGGTGGGACTGGCACTGAAAGGTGGATGGTGTCCCAGGGGTGGGAGGGTGAAATCGAATCCGCTTTCTGGAGGTTTAGTTGATAGCAGTGGGTGTGCTGATGAGAGGTTATTTCAGGCAGAATAAACAGCCCAAAAACCCAGGAGAGAGAGAACATTTCACTCAAGACTGAAAGATAGCAAATGGAGAGAGATGCAGGAAGAGAGATAGCAGGGGACATGGCCATGGCTTAATCACAAAGGGCCAACCAAATGACTTGTACTCAGGTGAAGTCTGGGTTTTCAACCCAAGGGCAATGAGAAGCCAGGAAAGCAATAATCTTATTTGTGTTTAAAAAAAGACTGTTCTCTGACATTAACCCAAACATATATGGTCAATTAATATTTGATAAAGGAGCCATGGACATACAATGGGTAAATGCGAGTCTCTTCAACAGATGGTGCTGGCAAAACTGGA